TAAATGATGAATACTTTTCATATTTAGATAACTGGTACAAGTCAGGCTTCAAAGTAAACAAATGCGCAGGTACGGGAAGTGTTGTCAAGAGGTTTACAGCTCAATTTCGCGCAATAAAAATGCTTTTCCTTTCAGATAATTGCCACTACGAAGTCATAATCGTTTGTTTAGTTTTTGAACTAGTGGAAAAGGATCGAATTCTCGAAGTATTTAAACTGCTGTCCAAGTTCACTCTTGTACTGCTTGTATTCGTCATTGCAACCGCAAGTTCAAAAGTTGTAAATTTCACGCAAGTACCGTTGATGTTTTCAGTTCTCAAAACGTGCCGTTTGAATTGCCCCAAAATTTTATTTCATAAATTGAAAGAAAAAGGATTTCTCTTTCTCTGGAATAGCATTTGCACAACGAAAGCCATGTACCAGGAAGGGTTTTTTGCCGTTGAAAAAGGGCAAAATTGATAGTCGCGATGAAACTGTTTTAGAGGGTGATTTTGAAAAAAAAAATTACAAATTCAGATTAGAATCTTTTGAAATTACAACAACGTTTTCAATTAAAGGAATGGTAATAAAATCATCTTATATCGCAATAGTCATGGTATTTGATTCCGTTTCTTTTCACCACGCGAGGATGCGAAGCACATTTTTGGGTGGTTTAAGGGCCTCGGAGGTGAAAATTCAAAAAAAAATTTTTTTTTGGAAAATATTAATCGCAAGAAACTGAATCTTGCATTTTCTAAACTAGTTTCATAAGGCCTTTAATGCGACAAAGTTTGGGAGATTTCGATTTTTCCAGCTTGCACACCTATCCGTGGTATCTACAGAAAGTCGCTCTCAAGTCTTGTTCAAAGTTATTGAAAAGGTCTTGTAATATGTGACTTAACCAGCCTTTTACGGATCACTTGAAAGTCAAATCTAACCCTCTCTTTTCACACTGGTCAAGTTACACATAACTTGGGCCGAACAATTTAGAGGAAAGCATGAGGCTAACGTAAATGACTTTATGGGGTTGAAAAAATTATTGCTGAACTGAAATTTTTCGTTGCGGCCGACAAGCAATAAACTCACGTTATCAATTATAATAGCTTGTAAAATTGCCTAGGTTTAAAAAGCTCAACCTGCGAACCATTTAGTTATAATATTAAACCATTTTAGCAAAACGGGTATTCTATTTTTCTTGTTGATGGGGTCAGGGAGGTCCAGTTGAAATCATGGCAGTGATGTACTGTATCAAAGAGGTTTGCAGAAACATACTGACGAATAAACTAAGCAGCACAGACCTCAAAGTTGGAGAAAAATTTTCCATTTATCGTTAATAAGACAGCAATTATTTGACTGTATCCACTAAAAGCGATTTAATGGCTTTTGTACTTTTTTTAAATTTAAATTTATTTTTATTTTATTCTTGATTTTGTCATTGCCTGACACTGAAAACTAGATATTGTTGGAAGGTTGTCGGGGAATAAGTTAGTTGCTCATTAAGAATAAGTCAAATATTAATTGTAAAAGGAATTAGTTAAATGATTACGTGATAGATTGCATCAATTCTCAGTAAATTGAACTTAGTGCACAGTTTATCAGCGGATGTACTTTGCATGCGCTAATTGAACCAAATAAGGAAGGGATCATGTGAATTAGGCTTGATATATCGTACGATAGTTATATTACTGTATGTGATACACTATAGTACTGAATTGTGTAAGACAGCAAAAAACCGAAGTACACGTACACTGTAACGAGATCGATAGTAGAACCCTTGAGAGGTAGAAGAATAAACTCCGTGTTAAAATAGCACGTAGAAAGTGTGATAGATACAGTCCTCAGTTAAACCAGCGAGCGGAACAAAATTCCGCGACAAAGGTACCATTCTCTGCAAAAACTCCTTTTTGTACCTATTTATCTATTTTAAGAACCGTTTCGATGCAAATTAAATGTGCATTCCTACACTGTCAATCAACGGCAAAGATATCCTTAAAATGAAATGTTTTCTATACCTGACTATTGACAGGCATGGGATC